ATATATATATATATATATATATATATATATATATATATATAAATTAGAGACAAGATTAATTTGCTCTTCTCAGTCACGGACACATTGCCTTCTAGGGTGATGCTACCCTGCCCTAGACAGCTCCAGGAAACAAACACCAGTGACATGAGCAGCACGTGTTATCACAAGTTTGGTTTTCTGGATGTGGCAAAGCTGAGCAGAGCGTATGACGCAGCTACATTTTGTTACCAATTCAGTCATTGTCCCAACTGCAGGGTCTGGGGTGCATCCCTTGACGTCCTGGTTGGTGTGACATCCAGTGATACCAAGACCTGAGCAGTATCAAGCGAGCCACGAATCTCACAACTGGAAGCAGTGTCGGAGGGGAGCCCCAGCCTCAGACCTGGGAGCAGAGTCAGAGGTAGGTAGGTTTGAGCTACAGGCCCTGAGCAGCGTCAGTGAGAGACCTGAATCTCAGCCCAGAAGCAGCATTAGAGGAAGGACTGAGCTTCAGGCCCGGAGCAGCATCAAGGGAGCCATGAGTCTCAGAACCCGCAGCAGTGTCAGAGGGAAGCCCTAACCTCAGCCCCAGGAGCGAAGAGTGATCACTGGGTAAAGCAACAGTAGCACTATGCAGCAGTAGCTTCCAGAAACTATTACAAAAAGTTCCTCTGGAATAGAGCACCTGTGTCCCAGCCAGCATCCACTGCCATTTCTCAGTGGGAGACACTCCACTACTACATCTACTGACTCAGCTCCAGCTACACCTCCAACAGGAGGAGCGTCCACGGGGACTGTAGCCCCACCCGCACCTCAGGGCGTGACCACCTGAGCATTGGGCCCACTTCCACCAGGAGGAGAGTTCACCTGAAGCTCTGCTCTACTTGTGCCTGAAGAAGCTGTCAATGGAGCCACAGCCCCTAACTATACCAATTGGAGAAAGAGAAAACCCCTGAAGCACAAGCTCCACCTTTACCGATTAGAGGAAGAGATGCATAGACAACACACTCAACAATGATACCTAGAGACTCAGGAAGCCTACCATCTGTAGGCTGCTGCAGTGGTGGTCGGGAAAGGTAGACAGCTGTACATTGTCAGGCATACAAATGATATCTGTGCAGTATAGCTACAACTAAACCACCAGCAGCCACAGAACTAATGCAATTTATTCTCTGTGACTAGTCTCTTCAGAAGCAATTATAACATATAATGATATCTATGGTAAGGATAATAAGGCCTTTTCTGGGTTCGAGGAATCTTTGTTTCTATCAAAGGAGCTTTGGGGTCTCTCTAGAGATTAGGCCATGCATTTATTGGGAATTAGTGGGTGATATTGTTGCTTCCGAAACCATGGCACAACACTGTGATGTTCTTAGGGACAGAACATCCATCCATTAGATGACAGTATTTGTTGCCAGTGAGGAGAGGAATCCTTCCTTGGCTGCTGACCTAATGATTGGTTAACATCAGGCTCCAGAAGGCACACATTTTTATGGTACATTAATATTTTCTTGCCTTTGTTATTGCTGACAGGAAATACATAATAGGTCTTTCCTCATGCATGAAGCTTTTCATTTGTAAAATTTTTCACTTCAATAATAAGACATTTGATTAATACAGGGAAGCTAGGTTTTAGAGGAAACTCATATCATTGTTGGTCATACATGATGCAGAACCTTCCAGTATTCTATAGCAAAATGTGATGGTGCCTTCTGAATGAAGCCAAATCCAGAAGAAATAATAGTAAGTAAATGTTAACTATTGCAATGGAGTTGGATCCTATGGTTGGTGAGCTATTTGTTTTGTGACGTTCCCAAGGGTTATTTTATTGAGAGTTTTGCCATTAAGTGGTCTAATTGTGTCAGTGGATGGGGGCATTTTGAATTTGCATAATTTCCTCAAGGGACCTCAGCTGCTAATTTGGTGATTAATTATCCATATTACACATTGTTTATTTGACCATGCCTAGATTAATTTCTTTTTCCCAGCAAATCACATTTAGATATGAATTTGCATATCTTGATTACATTTTAATGTCATGGCTATCATTGTCTCTTCCCTGGACACCTCATGAGCTCATATAAGAGTGATCAAGCAGAGAATGATGGAATGTCTTAAATGACATCCCACATCAGTGGACAGAAAATGCGCATGACTTATTTTTAATGAAGAATGTGTTCCTTAATAATCCAGTAAATTACAATATTTGATGTGCAGTATATTTTGTGTTTCTAATATTTCCATTTTATTATTGCCAACCAATGTTAATGTCTTAACTTTTTTAATGTTTTTATCAATACAAATATATATCTGTATGCATACATATATATACACATACATATATATTTATGACTAAAAATTGCATTTTATTTATCTATAGTGTGGCATTCTGTTATCAAATTCTAACAAGCTTTATAATCACATCAGGCTCAAGAATGACTAGAATTCTGGTTGCCCTGTGCTAATACTACTTAGACTCATAGAGTGTGTCTCAAGTTATTTTATTTCATTTATACACAATGTATCATTGTTATTTACTTTATGGAGTACTATCTCAATTGCAGATAGTACCTACTCATTTTTATTCATTGTTAAACTGTCTTATGAGAAAAATTATACTTTACTTGTCTTAAAAAAGAGCTAATAAATTTTAGAGACAGACAGAAAATAATTTATTTTTGATAAAGAACCAGGAAGTTGTGGAGTCAAAATTAGGATCTGCGTGACACGACCAATGTTGCTTGCCAGCTCTATAGACATGGAATACCAGCAAGAAAGGCTCTTAACTAGCAACAAATAGATTCTCCTGCTTCATTAAATGGAAATAAAATGAATGAATTGGTGCTTTGCACTAGCTATGAATAAATGATCTGTATCAGCTCTATGCCCACAGAAGACTGAATGAGTGAATTAATGCATGAGTGAATGAATGGGTGGATGATAACATGGTTGTTTCCTATACCAATGATACAGCCAAATAAAGAAATTCAATGTCAACTGTCTACCCAGATGTTAAGGAAAGACAAAGAAGCCTTCCGGAAGTGAATTTGGCAGCTTTGACACGAAGATCCACTATATTCAGGATGTAGGGGTAGGACAAAGGCACAGTTCTTCTCTTCTTCTACACTGAGCTCTCCCTAGCCCATCAGATGGAACTCGGAAAATGGGTATGTAAGAATCCTGAATAAAATATTACATCCATCCAAACATTTTGGATACCTTGATATCTGCAGGTAAAAGATAACAACTGTCAAACAACATCTGTGCTTAAATGGGAAAGGAAGTTAGAATCTGCTGCCTGCGGCATTTCTGTAATTTCCAAAGTATGAAGTACTGAAGTCTCATTGTCATCAACTGGGTAGGTTGATGGCTACAGACCTCAGAGCTGTGTGCTTACCTGATTGGCATCATATCCAGGATATACTAGGATATACACTGAATTTCCTCAGTTTCCCCTCATATGAGAAGGATTAATAATATTATTGATATATATCTATATCTACATGTATCTTAAATGCAGTCATATGCCACTATATGACTATCATTGCTAACACAAATAAAACAATAATAATGTAAACTATGTATAACAAAGTTTTAATAAATTATAATAGTAATTAATAATATTAAAGCCAATCTAAAATGTATTGTTGTTTCTCAACTATTTGAACCATTGCTAATTGCTAGGTATATTAAAAACTAGTATATTACTCAAAAATTTACATTTTTGTTGTTTATTTTCAGGAATCTGAAACACAATTTGTTCTTGAGTAGCCAACTTTCAAAATTCGGGTTTGCTATCATCTTTACTTTCTCCTTTCTATATTCTGTTATCTTTTTCTCCATGAGAAAGGATGCTAGAATTAATCTCTTTATTAATTATTTTTATGTAGGTCAGGACATCAGTGCTGACCTGAAAATTTTCAAATAAATAATGAGAAGAGTATTAATTGTGGTGTGTTTGTGTGTGTGTGTGTGTGTGTGTGTGTGTGTGTGTGTGTGTGTGTGTGTAATCCAGAGACAAGTATTTTCTCTACAGCTCTCCACATCTACTTTTTGACACAGGGTTTCTCATGGAACCCAGAGTTCACCAATTTGGCAAGAGTTGCTGGCTGTGACACTTCTATATTCTTCTCAGTACCAAGATGATGAGTGTTTATCACCATATGTAGTATCTTACATGGGCACTGTAAATCTGAACTGAAGTCTTTATCCCTATACAGCGAGAACCGAGTTGACTAAGTTATTTTACCACCCCCATAATGATATTTAGGATCTTTCTGGAAGAAAATAGCATGTCAGTTGGTGAACCATATAAAGATTTTCTGTCCCCAGTGTGGGTGGGCATTTATTGGACTGATTGCCTGGCTATAGGCAGGGGAAGAAGAAATTCACTTGCTCTTCTTCATCAAGAATGTCCTTGTGCCCCTGTTGCTGGACACCAGAGCTCCTGGAGCCAGGAACTGTGGATTCTAGTAAGATATAATTCTTTCTTAGGCATCCTGACTAATCCAGGAAGGCTGTCCACCATTTCCATCTTGAGTTCTATCGTAGGCCTGCTTGGTTTTCTAGGTTTTAGGCATCTGGGTCTTCTTGACTTCACAAGAGCTAGTTCTCATTTCATAGACAGTAGTAACTGTGTGCTCACCATTTCATTTCCATGTATCCAACCAATTAACTGAAATATTTAAAAAAACATACAACTGCACTTAGCATGTTTGCATATTCTACATTGTACATATGCATGTATATCCTTTAACATTTTGATACTTTATATAATGCTATTATAATACTCTAATAACTGATAGAAGGGAGTTCTATGAAAGCTCAAGAGGACAACAGTTGGTGCTACTTAGACAACTGGAAAAAGCTTTACCAAAGAAAAGATTGTAGACCAAAGATCAGGAGGTGGGTGGACACTGGCAGATGCACACTGTGAAGATATTGGCATTAAATCAAAGTTTCAATGGTGTCTAAGTGAATATTAAATTTTGTGCTTTAGGAGATTTCTAGCTTCTGGTTTTGCAAAAGACCTATTTCTTCCTTTAACTCTCAGATACAGGTTACTGAAATAATTCCACAATAGTGCTGGAATCTATGACAGTCTTTTTAAAAGAATCTTGCCAGTAAGGCATCTTACAAGGGTTCTTCTACTGTTCTGTATTTTCTGGGAACACTAGAGAGTTGCATTAGGTTGAAGATGGAGTAGAAGAAACAGATTATCTCAGAGCCATCTAATGAGTGAGAAAACCAGGTTTACAGCCACACAATGGATTTATTAATATTCTAAAGGAATTTCTTAAGGATTACTGACTTATTAAATGTAGACAAAGGGTAATTAGTTGAGAATAAGGCACTATGTAAGATTTCTTTCCCTCCTCTCTCTCTTTCCCTCTCTCTCTTCCCTCCTCCCTCCCTTTCTTCCTTCTACCTTTCTTTCTTTCCTTCCACTTCTCCGTTTTCTTCCTTCCCTCCCTCTATACTTCCTGTGTTTCAATTTTTTTTTTTGTTTGGAGAGAAGTTTTTCAATCTAAATCAAGGTAGCTTGGTAAGGGCTGGGTTTACTGACATACACTAGCATACAAGTTCATAGGATTTCAGGATACAACAGTATTGTTGTGTATGTTCTGGGACTTTCTCCTAGTGTCTGTTTCTGAATTCACTGTTCTGTATAGAGGGTTGTGAAACAGACATACCTAATAGTTTCCTCCCAAAGGATGTTCTCTAATGATGCAAATGTAGGAGAGCCTGGTAGGATACTGGTGTTGGCTGAATGTGCAATGAGTTTCACCACATACTACAAGGGAAAGGATGATCAACAAAGGATCAGACATTGCTTTGCCCCTACACTGCCATTATAAGGATTTAGCTTAGAGAAATCAAATTGTCTTTACCCACTTTCTTCACCAGCAAAACAGAAGAAGAAAGTGCCTTCATGGAGTTATTACAAGACAAAAGTACTACCATGTGAAGATGTTTTAAAATTTCAGAATAAAATCAAACATAAAATCAAAACACAGAAGTGCATGGAGCAACTATACTAAATGAATCAGATGTGTGTGTGGGGAGAGCTTTTGAGTTGATACACTCTAATTGGATCTTGTCTCTGCTTTGACTAATGATATTTGAGAAGTTAACTCCTTTTAGCCCAATGCTGTGTTGACTTTCGCAGTTAAATGAGTAGAGTTTTGTGGAAACTAAACAAAAATGTATGTGAAAGCACTGTGTACTCTGGACATAGAGTGTTGCCAAATAGTTCCTTTCCTCCGCTATTTTCCTTTCGTCTCTCCTTCTTTCTTTCTCTTCTTCCGTCTTCTTCCCCTCCTTCCATCTCTCACTCTTCTCTTCCTCCTTCCTCTCTCTCTCTCTTTTTGTTTTGTTGAGACAGGGTTTCTCTGTGGCTTTGGAGACTGTCCTAGAACTAGCTCTTGTAGACCAGGCTGGCCTCAAACTCACAGAGATCTGCCTGCCTCTGCCTCCCGAGTGCTGGGATTAAAGGCATGCACCACCAATGCCTGGCCTTCCTCTCTTTTATCTTCACTCTTTTTCTCTTTACTTTAGCTTTCTTCTCCCATCTCTTTACAAAAGCTATGGCTTTGTTTCTCAAAACATCTCTCAGGATCAATAGTCTCTTACTTAATATTTGTCCACAGGAATTATTACATTATTCTGAATGGAAGTTTGTGTTGCTTGTCTTGTCATTGTTCTCAGGCTACACCTTTTTAGTCATTCTCTCCAGTTTTTCCAACACTGACCACAGATGTCATTCAGCTCTCCTGGTCCCTACCCTCTGATGTTCAGGATCAGCCTGTGCAGCTAGGAAAAGTTAAAAGAGAATGTTCTATCATCTACATCTTTCATTACTTTTTGGCTTCAATATACTCTCATAATTGCTAGACAACTTTATTTTGTACCACCAGTTGCAAAATTCCCATGTTACTTTCTAATGATCTTCCGATGTATTTTGTTCCATGTGTTATCTTGTGTGCTTTTTGATTGTGTATCCTAGAGATCATGTACTATCCTAGAGACTCCTGTGCTAATGAAATTTTGTATGCCCTCAGCTTCTATTTGTTTACTTAACAATTGTTTATTTGAAAAATTCTATGGATTAGACATATTGTCAGCACAGTGTATTCAGCAACGTCCCCAATGGGCATTGCTCTTGCTTTCCTGGAACTCATGTTCTGTTAAGGGATTGACAATGACACAGGCATGTAAATAATCAAGACACAAGAGATAATAACTAAGTTGTCCATTCAAGACAGTAGCTTCTACTTATTTTTTTAAAGTGGTAAAGTTTATGACTTTCAGAGCTTATTTAGGAATGTCATGTATAGATTTGGTGATGTGTGTGTCAACTAGAAACACTTGTGACAATAAATGCAGAACACTCCTAGATTGGATGTTAGAGAAACATAATTCTTTTTGTTTTGTTTGTTTTTTTGACACAGGGTTTCTCTTCGTAGCTTAAATTTCTAGAGATCCACCTGCCTCTGCCTCCCGAGTGCTGGTATTAAAGGAGTGTACCACCACTGACCAGAAAGAGAAACATGATTCTACCTACAGCTTAGACCTGAAATGGCTGAAACTGATCCTCACCCAGTCTCCCTGGTTTCACCTGGAAAATTAAGGACTTGATCTGGATGATTCGAAGGGTTCCTCCCAGCTTACTATTCGGGATTTCTTTATAATCTATGGCATTACTGCTTTTACTGTGTACTCCAGTGGCTCTATCAGAGCAGGCGGGATAGTTTTGAGAAGAAACTGAAACTGTCTCCTGGGAAGAGTTTTCTTTTAATAACCATTAGGACAACAGGAACATTGTGTTTTTTTATTATTAAATTTGTCTGTTTCCCAGTGCTGATAGCATCTTCTGAATATAAATTGCACAATATAATATAATAAAGCACAATTTAGAATTGTTCTCATAATAGTACATGCCATTGTATGAGGCCATAAAATAAGAACTGAAAGTACATCTTGTTCTGTAAACTCACAATTTTCAGCTGTCTGAAAACCGAGTGGAAGAAATGAAATTATAAAACAAAAGCATTTCACAGCATGAATACACAACTTTTAAAACATCACAAACTTCATAGGTTTAGAATTTAATAACCTAAAATACGTATTTTAATTTTTGTTTTTATGGATACTGATTACTGTAGTGTTTATTCACCAACTGATCTTTTTAAACTAGCTTTCGTATTTCTTCAGCTTTCACTCTTAACTTTTTATGCATAGCAGATAAAAAGACTTATTTGTTCTGAAAGAAAAGATAGGTCCCAAAACTTCAACAATATGAGATACTGAAGTTAAGACAAGTGGCTGTTTAAGGCAATTAAGATGCCTTTGAGTTTTTGCAATGGGTAGAATCAGTCCGAAAGCCATTTGCTCTATTAATGTTTGTCAGCAACTTTTAGAAGAATATTGCTTTTCAAGAACATGTGAGAGCTATGATGACTAAGCTGGATGCACTCATCAACTTTCCTTGTTGAGACTAAAGCCATGGCATTGCCTTTTCGGGCTATAGGTAATATAACAGATATATTCAATTATTCCATGAGCTTCGTACTTTCATTATATAGCCACCTTGCCACTATACCAGTGGCACACACAGTGATGCCATAGTCATCATGTGTTAGCATGGGAACAAAGGCT